ATCATCCCAATTAAAAGAACCAAAGACTTAAACTACTTCAGTCTGTGTGCATTGAATTTATTTAATACACGAGTTTCAGAATTTGAGTTGAATTACTGAAATAAATGAACTTTTCCACGACATTCTACTGTATATGCAGAAAGTGAAAGTAAAAACGGACTGACGGAGTAACGGAGCTTTCGGCATCTGATGCCACATATTCTCTCAGAGACAACGAGAGGCGAAATAACATATGCTGATAACAGTATATAGCTAACTGTTTTCATTTACTCCCTTAATATTTCTCTTGTGGCCCGTAGTACACAGTGAAAAGAAAATGAGAAGAAACATATTTCTGTTTCGTGTTAAACAGGTTGTTTTTGAAAGTTGCTTGAGATAGGCTAAAACTTTTTATTTCATTGATTTTTATTGATGACTGGAGTGTTAATATTGTAATTATAGGCCTATAATTAATTGTATAAGGAGTAAATAGCCTAATCTGATGTTATCCTGGGGAAAGTTACTATTAAAAGTAATGCATTACAATATTGCGTTACTCCATAAAAAAGTAACTAATTACGTTACTTAGTTACTTTTTATGGAAAGTAATGCGTTACGTTACTTTTGCGTTACTTTTTAAATCTGGACAGGGCTTGCTTGTTTGATTTTAAAATAAAAAAGTTATATTTTTGGCAAATATAAAAGCCTTTTCACACCAAAAGTTAAATGAATAAGCCTCAGGCTGAAGGGAAAGTAAGTTTACGTCCGTACAGTAGAATGCATTCATTTCAACACACTTCAGCAATAAACAAAGACACACAAATGTTGTCTAGAGTAATTTGTGCTTATTAGTACGGTTGAACTGGATCATCGAAGGTCAGAAGCAAATAGAATGGGATTAAATACATAAAGCATATTTGTGTTGTTTAACATTTAATTATTGCAGGATTGCGTCATATTCTGAGTTGCATTATTTGTATTCATTTTGAGGAATACTGAATCTGTGTTGTTGTTTTTTTGTGAGCGAGATGAATTAATGCATATTCATATTTATTTTAGAACTACAGTAACATCTTCTGATTTCTCTCAGCATGGGGACAGCAGAGCTGTCAATCTATAAATTGGGAAAAAATTAACTTGCGTTACTTATTTGAAAAAGCAACTCAGATATTCTCTTGTAAATTAAAAAGTAATGCGTTACTTTAATAGTTACTTGAAAAAAGTAATCTGATTACGTAACTCACGTTACTTGTAATGCGTTACCTCCAACAGGCCTATTATAATAGTAATAGTGCCCTGCGTGCCTCTCCGCTACGCCACTGGGTAGACAATACGTTCCTTTTCATTTGGGCTGCCTTGTTTAGTGCAGTGGCACTGAGAACATTATATTTCACACACTTTAAGCGCTTTTATTTTCCAAATGTAATAGGATTAGTCCAACGAATCGTTCAGTTTGTAATGCGTACCGAACCTAAAGCCTCGTACTGAATGCTTCAAACGAATACGTGTATCGCTACACCCCTAATACATACATATGAGAAGATAAATGTTAATAAGGAACCTCTTTAGAGATGAGTTCAATCTCTGCTGTGTAGTTGGAATCGATCAGATTCGCTTCCACCTGAGTAACAACAGATGTACAGGCACCAAAACAACCAGATGGCAGTAAATAATCTAATCCCAAGATTGCATTTAACAGGGAGCTTTTTCCTTGTCCTGTCTTTCCAAAAACACCAATGGTTTCCTTTCTTCTTTTGTCTTTATCCATCTTGTCCATTTTTGCAATGGCATCTCTATATCATGAAGAAAATAAATGTAACTGGACACTAGAATTATACATACATTTTACATAATGCTTCACAAGTACTTACAATATGTTGTTTTTTTGTTCAGTTGATGTTTGGTCTGTGCTGTTAATATTTAAAATTCTAATTCTAACTTCTGCCATGATCTGTTTCACATTCTTCAATACGAACATATCTGTATTCAGTTTAATGGATGGTTTTCCTGCGAAGACAGAACACAAAATCAAACACCCTGCAATAAAACTCACTAATATGAAGAGAAGATCTCAAAGAAAGAGCCCAAACTCCTCCCTTATCCTGAAGCTCACTTTCCTCAAGTCACCCCCTTTTCTTTTTTTTTTGCGTGTGTGTATTTAATTTTTTTTATTTAAAAGCTTCGAAAGTTCACTAAGAATGTCTATATACCACGTCTAGCAGCACCATCTATCGATTTTTTCCTTTTCATGTTTGGTATCAGTTAAAATATAAGAAATCATAAAAGGCACAAAATAAAAAATTGACAACAAGGTTAGTCCTGAAAATCCATTTGATTTGTACACACAGACTTGCAGCTTCTACCGTCACATCAGGAGGATGCATATCATGTATGATATTGATTTCTCCCCTCTTACTAATTCTAAAATGCTTAGACTGACAGTCTACTTCTCATCATGTGTCACAACGACTGGTCTTTTTTAAATATACAAATACCAATATTTTGATATATCAATAATTGAAGATTAGAGCTAAACATACTCAGAATTACTTGCCTGGGTGTAACTTTGCGCTGGTATGTGAATCACATGCTTCAAGTTTTCTCTTAGTACCTGTCAGAGAATTCATACACATCAATTTTGTACTAAATCAACAGCACAATATGAACAATTATTGATAAAATAAATGTAATACACAATATAAAAAATTATTGATAAAATAAATGTAATACACAATATAAAAAATTATTGATAAAATAAATTTAATATCTTGGTGGAACATTATGGGTTGAATGTTTTTGGTCAAAATGCCTAAAGAATTTTTATTTTTTTTCTCTAATTGTCAAAGAGTATATTTTTCTGTTGCATAAAATCAATTGTAGGGATATTAAAATGAAAATGAAAAGTACAATCTCTCATTTTAACTGATAGTACAAAATTAGTTGACTTACCATGAGAGGAAATTCCTGACAGAGCAGATTGTGATGGCACAGGAGACAGTGGAGATGTTTCTGTTACAGGTCTGTTTACGTAAAATAACAATATTGCTAATAAATAACTATAATATGAAAGCACCAATTATCCTATACTATGTATTATATGTTTTAACCCTTTAACTGTCACCCGTCCCCTCTGTGGGACGCCTAAGTTTACTTCACTATATTACAATTAAATCCTAATCTAATCATGACAAACTATATATCGTTGGAAAGGTCTAAGACTCCTAAATAGATATTTTACCAATGTTTTTGTTAAAAATTATGTCGGAAAAGTAATAGATTAATTTATGACAAGAGTGCACCTCTAAAAACCTCGTCATAACAGGAGTTCTGACTTTTGTCACAAAAAGTCTCCTTTGTTGCCTTTTTCTCGATCACACTTTAGAAATCATCAGAAATTATATATCAATTGAAAACTTTAAATCTCAAAATTCATCCTTTGAAACCCATTTTAAAATCAAACATTGCCATGAAAATGATACATCAATATCATGTTACAAAATGTTTTTGTTCATGAATTATAAAAATTTAAGTTTGGATAGTGCACTTTCACGTCTATGTTCAAAAATGTGAGTGACAGTTAAAGGGTTAAAAGAGACAGAAGTTTTAACATTTTTTCCTTTTGTGACTTGATTGCAATAAGAGTTTATTACGTACTGTTCTTTCTGCTCACTCATTTCTGCTTGCTTTTCCTTGGCCTGCTCATAAGTGGCTACAATAAAAAATTAAAATTATATATATATATATATATATATATATATCAGATTTAAACAGAAGTTAAGGTAGAAAGTGTTACCATATTCTGATTGAAACAGAATAGCTAATTTCGCCCATGGTTTCCCTCCTGTTGAAGGCTCGAGACGGTTCTTAACAGCTTCCATGCACTTCTCTGGTGATTTGAATGGGGGCCAGTAACATTGTTTCTTGTCTTCGCTCAACCAGTTTGTTGGGGTCACCATCACCTCATCTGAGTCTTGCAAGGTAACAACTGCATATATGGTCGTCCTGCAATAAGAAAATATGTAAGCAAGCAAGTAAATCAGTCAATCAATGAATCAAAAGCTGTACAAAATTTGCCATCTGAACAAAAGAAAATATGAAGAGTTTGGTTCCAAAATGCTATAAATCCATTTTGATTAATTTGAGCAATAAATCCATGACAGTTTTATTTTTCCAAAATGCAATAAATCCATTGAATCAATATAAAAGTTATTGAAACTGTTGAAAATACACAACATAGTAAGTTGATCCACATATGGCAGCCTCTGAACTTGGTCAATACTATTCTTATATGCAGACACTGGACTGAAAATACATTCAATCAGTCATCGCTCCCAAAATGAATTCAACGGGTCATCTTGTTAATGCTATAAACTAATTACAACAATAAAAGAAAATTTCATCATGAACATACATGAACAACAAAATCACATTAAACCACAGAAATTCCAAAAGTGCATTCATCTTTACCATGTTACATTCATTTAGTTGACTAGTGCTTTACGCTGTATTGCAGAAAAAGGAGACTGTCGTTTGTCGCGGTTTGGAAAAAAAGGGAGAAAACATGACAGAATAACTCGGCGGATATCGCATTTTGCGTAAAATTTAAAATTGACTTTTCAATACCGACCAGATACAATACTGATTTTGGCGGAAACTCATAAAAAAAAAAAAAAGGCATTTATCGCGTTTTGGAACCAAACTCTTCATATATGTGTGTGTGTGTGTGTGTATATATATATACAGTGCAACATTCGCATGTAGGTGAGAATAAAAAAAGTTTGTCCAATACGGGAACACACACACACACACATTGGGTGTTTTATGTCTCTAATAATTAAGTCCACCAAATATTATTAGTTATCTTCTTGATAATTGATGTGTGATCCTCACCTTCCATCCATTGATTTATCTTTTTTCTCATGTCCATTAGACCCGTAATCACTTTCTTCACACTCCACACTCTCCATATCACTTTCAGGACAATTTTTGTCTTCATCTTCCTTCAGTTCATCACAATCCTCACCTGCAGACTCCTTATGCGTGGAGCTTAGATGTAACAGTTTATCTCTTTTTCCGCTGGATAGTGTTTCAATATCATATTCTTCATTGGTCCTCTTTACCATAGTATCTACCTTATCTAGGTCCTCGGGTGGAATGCAGACTATCACATTTGGTTTGCAAACATGAATTGCATAATTTTCTAAATCCTTGCATAGCTTTAAGGCATAGCATTTTAGTGTTGAAGGTATGAGTACCGGGGTCAAAGGGCAGCCCTGACACAGCAAGTTGTCTTTCTGAGCAGAAAAATCTTCTGAATCTCCAAGGAGATTTTCCAGAGTAAGAAAGTCCTGATAAAGAGTTGAATTTGACTGGTTGTGGTCCTCTATCTCATCCTTCAGATGGCACAGCATTCTTTGAGTGCAGAGTGTTTTAGACGTGATCATGACAGTAGATGGATCTTTTAGCTTCCCCTTTAAAACAGGCTTCAAGAAATCATCTAGATATCTTGCCAGAATAGTTGCGATGATTAGATAGTCAACGTTAAAAAAGTGTTGACTATCATTAAGCATACTTTTCAGAGATTCATTAAAATATCTCTCAGAACAGTTAAATGCACCTCTGTGGATTCTCTCATAGAGCATCTTTATGTATGGAATTATGACCTGAATGTTGTCTTGATAGAAGGAAACTGGGATGCCATCTGGTCTCGGTGTGTCTGACACTTGAAGAGAATTTACAGCTGACACAATGTCAACTTCACTGACTGCATGTGAGGTTTCTTCATCCAATAATGAACCCATCTCATCTGTCAAAAGATCCTTTTTTAAACTCAGCAGTTCCAAGCTTGCTTGTATCTGGGGATGTTCCTTAAAAGGCACTGCAGGGATGTTGAGCTCTAAAGACACAGGTCGGTGGTCTGTAATGTTTGAGTCTCCGATTTCACAACTTCTGACACGCCACATACATTCTTCTGGAACAAAGAAGTAATCCAGCCTGGACACAGGAGAGTCTCTTATGTAGTATGTATAATCCTTCTTCATGGGGTTCCTTCTTCTCCAGACATCAACCAACTGAAGCGATTTCATGAACCTCTCTAAGAGCAACTTTCTATGATTTCTGTTGTTATTCCATTTTTTGTCAATAAATGGATTGAGAACCGTGTTGAAATCTCCACCGATCACCAGCAGCCCTGCTGCCATTGACTGCAGGTATCTTGAAAGATCATCAAGAGTTTTTGTGTCCGTTTCATGGTTATAAACACTAACCAGAGTGTAAAGCTGACCTCCCAGTTTACACTTCAACACAACATAAGCTCCACAATGATCTTTCTCATTACTTATGTGTTCAAAATCTAGACTCTTCCTCACTAGTATGGCTGTTCCCTTGCTGGAGGAGCTGTACTTTGTGTAGAAAATGTACCACTCATCTTCATAGTCTTCTAGAATATTTTCATCTCCTATGCCAATGTGTGTCTCTTGTAAGAAAACAACATCTGCATTTTGCAGTTCTTGACGTTTCTGTTCTCTGTTTTGTTGAAGTCCATTTACATTCCAGGTGATGACGTTTATGTTCTGTGTAGCCATTGATCTGATCTGCTCTCACAGACTAAAGGTCCTCAACTTAGTAAGTTCCCTGTCAAGACAAGAAGTGATTGAGGGTAAGAACTTAATTTCTCATTCAGTTCTCTCCAGTTTTTAATTCTGAGTGGACTACAGTTTTATACAAAGTGATCAGGGTTTACATTTCATCAGGTCATGCATTCCCTGGGAATTGACAACCAAGTATCCCAAGCCAAAATGTTTTCCTCTCTTTTCAGTTCTAAACATTGTGGTGTCCAAAAATATTACTTTCTAGTTTTATTCTTTAGTTAAAGTTAATTTAAGGCTGGTTTCACACCACAAGCATGAGCAGCACATAGTTTCTTCAGCGTGCATGTTAACAAATGAGTGCATTCACACCGGGAGCAGGAACAGGAGTGT